CTAAAAATTTTAATTGTTATCACAATTAAATTTAGAAAAAAATTCTCTATGTAGAAATTAAAAAAAAAAAAAATTAAAAGAAAAAATTTTTTTTTATAATCATTAATTAATTAATTAATTAAAAATTGTAAAAATTTTTATAAGTTTAATTATTTAAAAAAAAATTTTTTTCTGAAATAAAATAAAATAAAAATGATTAAATATTTGTTAATTTCATTAACATTATATTAATATTTCTTCTTTTTTTCTTTAATTTCTAATTTCGAACAAAACAAAGTTATTAAAAAAATTGACAACCAGCGCTCGCAATTTCCATTTATAATTATTTATATTTGTGTCCCCTACAAAGCTTATTTTTAATCAGTAATAGTAATCAGTAATCACTATTGATGTACACGTACATATTTTGTACCAAATACCGCACATTAATGCGTGACACTGAAATAAATATAAAAAATCTTTAATAATAATTAATTTGTGTTGATTAAAAATTTTTATTTCATCTCTGCACATGAATTTTAATTAAAAAAAAATTTGAGTATTTTTTAAATAATAATTAATAAAAATACGCTTACATTTTAATTATAAAAAAAAATTACTAAAAATCCAGAAGAAAAAGTAATTACAACTATAAAAAAAAAAATAATAATAAATTTATGTCATGATCATACATGTAATGCCTGCACATGCTTACGCAATTTTATTTCTAATTATCTAAATATATTTATATATATATCCATTTATATTTATATATTATATACCTTCATAGATTTCGTGTAGAAATAATTCTTCTCTTTTTATTTTATTTATTATTATATTTTATTTTATTTATCCGTTTAAATTAAACCATTCATTATTCGGTAGATCGAAAATTTTAGTGGATCGTTATTATTATTATTATTTTTATTAGATCATTAATCATGTCCACTTTGGCACGCGGTTATGACTCGCTATTATTTTCCAGTTATAAATTATTATTTGAATGGTTTATTTTAATTATTTTAAATCATTAAATTCTATACTTTAGAACGACTTTTTGATTGGCGTTAATGCTGCCGAACACCATTTTTTTACTCATTAGATTTTTTATTTTAAATTAATCTTAAGGGCATTCTCAGACGCGCCATTTTTTAGTTACATTTAATGGCCGCTCTTGTTATGACAATTATAATTATTTATTGGCTGTTAAACGAAGAAATATTGCATTAATTATAAAAGAAAAATTATTTTTATAATTTTGCAGGTTTGGTAATTTTAAAACCAAATTTTTACAACTTTATTTTATTTTAATTTGATAAAATTAAATGTTTAATTCTTGAAGTGGGATCTATGATTCAAAATGGCGCATTTAAGAAATTTTTAAACAATGTTAAGTTATTTTTTAATAAAATTAATTTTGGAGTGTTTTTTAAGGAGTTTTAATTAAAAATTAATTATATTATTCAATTTTTGATGGAAAAAAATTAAATAAGTCTAACAATGCCCTTTTTTTTTTGAAGATTAGAGGTTAAGAGACAGAGAAAGTTTTTTTTAAAAAAAGATATGTATCTTCAACCTTAACGAGAGTATTAAAATTTTATTAATTAAAATTATGTAATTTTCGTGTAAAAAAAAATTTCGTTTGTTTAACTTAAAATTTTAAACTTGACACAAACCAAGACTCTCGAATTTGTTAAGATTAATTTTTAGACGATTTTGCGAGTTATTAACCGCAACATTTTTGAGGCTTTAAAAAATTTTTTAAGACTATTTTGAGATGATCTTACAGTGACAGAGCTCCGGAAAATTATTATGGAGCGTCTTAAAAAGTTTTAATCAAAAATATAAAATTGTAGTTATTAATAATTATAACATCTATAAAATATTTTTTTGAATGTAGTTTTTATCGGACGATCACATTTTGAGGTCCCAAAAAATTTTTAATTTTTGATTATTTCAATAAAAAAAGAATACGCATGAATTTAGTAAAATATCGAGCTTTTGTTTCTGAGAGATATATCACCTGAGAGTTTTACGATATAAACAAGTTCCATTGTAATCGATTGTTTCCTGAGAGATTTTTTTAATTGATTTGTTTTCATTGAAAAATTTTATACTGAGAATTTTTAAAAATAAAAATTTCTCCTGAGGTCTTTTAAAATGTAGAGAAATTTTCTGTAGAGATGCTCTCCATCCCTATTTTATGAGCTCACGACAGAGCTCCCGAACATTAAAATGAAGCGTCTAAAAATTGTAGGATAATAATTTTTCAGCAATTTAAAATTTGTCTAAAAATTAATTTTCTATAATAAATTTGAGAACCAAATTTCAAAAATCTGCTCTCGGAATTTTTAACTTCCCGCTAAAAATCTCATATTTTCAAAAATCGGGAAGTTATTGTTTTCACCCCGTTTTACAAAAATCGAGTTTTCATCAAATCTCGACGTTTGAAGGTCACAGGAAGTTTCCCGGACTATTTTTACGATGATGTCCGTACGTCTGTATGTATGTGTGTGTGTGTGTGTATATATAAACCTCTTGTAACTTTTGAACGACTTGACCGATTTCATCGCGGTTGGTGTCATTCGAGAGGGCTTCACTAAAGTTAGATTTCCTGAAAATTTGAACCGATTCGGACGGGTAGATTTCGAGGAAATCCAAAAAAAGTGAAAAAAAAAGTTGTTTTTTTTTTCATTTTTTTTAAATATCTCCGAATTGGCTCAACTGATCGGTCTCATAAACTAATCAGCTCTTAACCTTGAAAACCCCCATGGATCGCCACCAAAAACGTCAGAATCGGTTGATGCGTTCGTGAGATATCGTTGTCGAAAAAAATCGAAAAAAGTGTTTTTTAGTAATAACTTCGAAATTCATGGCTCGATCGATTTAAACTTGAAAATTTTTCATGGAGCTTCAAAAACTGCGTCGATTGCCGCCAACCGCGTGAAAATCGGTTCATTCATTCAAAAGTTATAGCAATTTGAAAATTAAAAAAATCGTGTTTTATCAAATTTTGATAAGACTTTTGAAATCGAAGAGCTCAAAAGCTTAAAACAGCTACTTTTTTTATAGAGCTCAAAAAACTACATCGATTGCCGCAAACCACCTGAAAATCGGTTCATTCATTCAAAAGTTATTGCCGTTTGAAAATTAAAAAAATTGTGTCTTTAAACTGCTATTAGAGTTTTTGAGCTCGAAGAGCTCAAATTGACACAAAAACAATATTTTTGAGCTCGAAGAGCTCAAAAACGTAATGTGTAGTTGGAAGCGTTTAAGTACAAAATAAGCGGGAAGTTGCAGGGATGGCCTTTAGGGTGAACCGTTTTTCTAATTTTTTTTTTTGGTGTCAGAATAGTCTTGGTGTGTGTCACGTTTAAGATCTTAAACAAACGATATTTTTAAGACGATTTTTTTTACACGGATTAATAAGAAAAATAACTTTTTTTTTATAAAAAAAAATTATTTAATTTTACTCTCAATTATAATATCTTGTTATTTTTCCAAATTAAATTAATAAAAAAAAAAAAATAAATGAAATTATATTACACCTTAAATAAAACAAAATTATTTTGGTATTGGGAGAGTAAATATTTTATTAAAAATAATTATTGATTAATAAATTAATTATTAATAATTATCAAATTTATAAATCTTAACACTTGCATGTTAATTTTGCTCCTACCCTTTAATACACAAAATTTCTATATATTAGTTAATTAAATATCAATAATTAATAATTAATAATTAATAATAATAATAAAAGTATAATTATATAATAATCAATATATTAATATAAATAATACAACATATTTCCCGCTAACAAAAAAAAATCAAATAATTATTCTTTTTTCACCGAGTACAATTTTAATTCTCAAAAGTAATTACAGCAACTGAAAAAAAAAATTCTTTTTTTCGCGGGTGAAATTTTGAAAAATATTTTTCAAATGTACACTCTTAATAAAACTAAAAAATTACAAAAGATCATTTTAATAAATTCAACTAAAAAAAAAATTCTCAAAAAAATTATACAAAAGTTTTTATGAATATTTATAAATATATTTAATATTTAATATCAATTATCAAGTAAGCGGTGAAATAAAAATTAATTATTTTATATTCATAAAAAAATGATGTAAAATTACCGCTTAACTTTTCTAATCAAAAAATTATTTAAATATTAATAATAGTTTCCATTTAAATAATAATAATAATAATAATAATAAAACTTACAGCGTAAGCTTCCAGATTAAATACTCTAAATTACACGCGTTAAAAAATGACTTGATTTAAATTTCAATAATTTCATTATTAACAAAAAAATTTTTATTGTAAATATTTAAATTTATTTATTTTCCCTGTCGCTTTAATTAAATGGTCATTTTTTTTTTTTTTTTAGATTTATTATCATCAGACACTGAAACTGCATTTAATAAACATTAAATATTTCCTTTTATTTTGTTTAATTAAATAGTATTTTATTAATAAATATTAACCCAAGCTTCACCACTTACAATTTATTACTTTACGTGAAAAATATTTTTTTTATTTAAATTTGTAAAAGGCTATCGCAAAAAATATCTATATGTCTCTATGAATTCTAAGCGCTAAAAAATATGTGCTCCACTTGGTTACTTTTACAATAAATTAATTAATTACCATTTATTTTAGTAAATGCAATGAAACAATTCAGCTTGTGATAAATTTAATGTGAATTGTTTTATTGCTATTACTTATTAACTTCTTTGGATATATAAATATTTATAATATTTTATTTACTTATTTACTTGTTTATCTTTCATATAAAACAGCAACGTGGTTAAATATTTTGTTGCTGAAATAGATATTAAGTGGAACACAAATTGGCGCCGCTTGGAGGAAGATCAATGTCAGTTTCAGTGTGATTTGTTTATTTCTGTTTTTGTTTTTATTTTCGTTTATCAGTACTTTATTTTTATTTTTATTTTTAGTTTAAATTTCCTTGTTTTGTTGGTTCATGGTAGATTTTTCTATGTTAAATCGAGTCATCCAGGATTTTTGACGAGCTTTTTTCCACGGTAGTCGTAAACACGCCGACAAAATAGCACCATATCTGATGGTACTGGAATGGGAGGCTGTCTACTCTCCCGGGGATAACTTTGCTCTCCAGGCGGTACTATTAGTCCTGGACAATCCAGGTTTTCTTCTATTCTTCGTAAATTTTTACGGTATCTGAAACATTTACAATTTTTGTAATATTCAATTTATTTTTTATATTTTTTTAAGGGGATAAATCCGCACGAAACTGAATTTAGTAGTCTAACAATTTTTTTTTATAATTAAATTATGATAAAAAAATATATTAGCAATCTTACAGTCACTATATGACTGCTTTGAGTAGCGGACTATAAATAAATAAAATTTTGCTATAGTAAATAATGACTTTTGTTAAATTGCACTGTACTTTCTTAATTATTGACATTTTTCAAAATATAAGCTCATCCCGATGTTACACTCTTCAAGAGCTTTCAGTTGAGTGCCCACTTTTTAAAGATATAAGCTCATCTCGATGATAGACTCTACGAGAGCTTTCATTTAAGTACCCACATGCATTTTCATATATTTTTCATATATACATATATATAATATATATAAATATATGAAAAAATTGATATGGGTACTCAAATGAAAGGTCTCGATAAGTGTAACATCAGAATGAGCTTATATCTTTGAAAATGTCAATAGTTTTCAAAATTTTTAATAAATTAAAAATTTTCTTCAGAAAAAAATGATTGAAAATCCGCTTTTTTTGCATTCAAGTGCGTTTTACCCCTCAAAGAAGAAATTAAATAATTATTATTAAAATACCCACCGACAATATTCATTAAACGTTAAAATATAACACTTGTCTTCTATACAAGCAACACTATTAGCGTCGCGATGTCGTGATGCAAAGACTTCATCTTCAGTATCAAAATCCGTACGTCCTTGTTCCGTATGTTCTGGCCTGTAGTACCACAGTAACGAGAACATCATTTCACCTGAAAAATATTAAAAAATCTTAAAATTTGTCTTTAAAAAAAAAACATCAATAATTAAATACTAACAAAAATTATCATTAATAAAAAAATTAATATTAAATAAAATTTTCATTAAAAAAAAAAAAAAATTTAATAAAAAAAATAAAATTACCATCATCAGGATTTTCCCAAAGCGCAGCTATCTTAGCAACAAAAGGCAAATCCGCTTTCCGTGGACCACTTTTTAATAAAACACAGTCTCTCGGTCTCAGCACATCTCCACTGACGTGCTTCATACTCTTGTAACACCTCCTTATCGCTGATTCTTCATTCTAACAAGCAAACAACAAAAAAGTCAATCAATTACTTAAAAAAAACTCTCCTGAAACTCCCCTTAAAAAAAACCAACTCCCAAACAATCTAATTACCGTTAAATAAACTTTGGCCTCATACGAATCTCCTTCCCAGCTCCATCCGTTGCTCCACTTGGGCTTGAGAAAGCTCTTCTTCGTCAAAGAACTAAAACTATCAAGCACCCCTCCGACACTTTCATCCCGTCCGGGAATTTTCTTGCCACAAATTTTCTTAGTATTTGTACTTTTTTTATTACTCTTCTTCTTAACTAAGGCCGCCGGTTTCTTCTCCTCCTTATCCTCTTTATCCTGAATCTTGACAATTCTCCCCTTTCCTCCCGCACTTTTCACCTCCACTTTCCCCTTATCCTCCAACACCTTATTCTTAACCATCATCTTCTTAACTCTTCCCTTTCCCTCTTTTCCCCCCTTATCCTTGTCTATTAATTTACAATCCTTGAACCCTAATTTATCCGCTTTCTTTGGAACATTTTTAATAATCGACAATAAATTACCAGATTTTCTCTTGCTATCACGCTCTTTTTTACCGCTATTAACAATAACATTACTGATATTAATACTATCACTATTACTACTATCATTACACGTACTAACAATATTAATATCATCATCGTCCGTCCTACTAGTCATTTGTACACTCTGTTGAATCACATTGTTAATAGTTTCCATAATACTCATCGCCGAGGCGGTCTTAACCGGACAAGTGCTCACCGATTTCTTAACTTTTTTGCTATTACTCTCCGCAATATTACCTTCCTCAGCTTTTCTCTTAAAATTTTCCTTCTTAACCTTCTTCTTGACCCCCAAGGGACCAATTTCACCCCCAACATTCCCAAAATCTCCCCCCAGAGCTGCAGAATCCCCAAAATTAGTTCTATTAATAAGATACTCTTCATTCATCGGGTTAGGAACCCTGTGATCATTAATATCGCGTCCCGAGCCCACGGACAAGGTCCGTTTGTCCAGTTTTATTTTCTTAGGACTCAAACTACTCAAACTGTCCAAGGACAACTTCCTCTTGGTCAATTTCTGACACTTGGAGGTAATTAATATCTCTCTGCGGGTAATATCAGACTCAGATTTGTTATCTGTGTCGTCTTCGATTGTCTCAGAGACGGTATCTTCGTAATCGGGCTTGGTCCAGCTTTCGCTGTCGATATTAACCACAACTACGTCGCTGATTTCTTCTTTGACCTCCGCTTCTGCGGCGTCTAGCTTGTCGTCTATCATCAGGATCCCCGAGTCCTTGTCGATCTCCAGGATCGCCATTTCTCGGTCCTCTTTTAGACATTGTTCGCACTTTATTATTCCGCACTTGTAGTCGTCTTGCTGCTCGCATTTTACGTTGCAGTTTGATACGCAGGATAAGGCGCTAGTGTCGCTGACGATTCCCACGCTGCAGGACTCGCACTTTACGTTGTTGTTCTCGGTTTTGAAGGTTCGCATGTTTGAAAGTTGCGGAGATATTGAGGCCAATTTTTGGAGGGACAGAGCTTGGGGTTGTTGGAGGGATGAGGGAGATTGTGGGACTAATGATGGTGAGGGGACTGAAGCTTCGGCGGGGGAAAGTGTCTCGATTTTTACTTCGCAGGTTGATGTGCAGGAGAGCTTTTCACAGGCGCATTTTGGGTGTTTGCTTGGACTGTTTTGCTCTTCCTGAAAATTAAGGGATTAATTTATTATTTATTTATTTATTTGAGAATTTAATTGGGGATTTTGTAGAGAGTTAAAGTTGTTTAAGAAAATGTTTGAGGGGTGAAGTTTATGAAGTTTTTAAAGTTAAAATAGGTATTGACGTAATGAAGTTTGTTTACTTGAGAATTCTAAGTGGGTTTGAAAATGTTGGTGAGCAAATTTTATTATGAAGTACTTTTTTAACTTTGTAATTTGTTTAATTAATAATAAATTACTTTACAAGAATGATAGAGGATTTTTTTTTTTTGTAAAAAATTGGATAGCTTATTAATAAACTTTAAATAAAAAGTTTTGTTTGGAATGAAGTCAAGAATTATTTTTAATTGAAAAATATAATTTAAAAATTGAAAATCTGACATTTTTTTAAATTTATTTTTTCTGGAAATTTTGAAAATAATTTTTAATTGAAAATCTGACATTTTTTGAATTTTTTTATTCCGTCAATTTTGAAAATAATTTTTGAAAAAATTAAGTAATGTTTAAAATAAAAAATTCAAATTTTTGATTTTTTTTTGTCTGAAAATTTTTTACCATAAATTTCCAAAAATTTTTTTCTATGTTAAATTATCAATTTTAATACACAAAAAAAATTATTTTTTCATGTTTTTCACTAAAATCTTATTCAAAATTAACAACTTCAACTAGGTATTTGATATTTTTGTTTAAATCACAAAAAATTAGAAAATTAAAAATAAAAAAATTAAGTAAGAGAAATTCTACTGTATTTTTATATTTTAGGTTAAGTTTGGATCGTACCTTAGCGCGACAATCGTTGTTGTGGGTAGTTGATGAAGGAAGCTGCTGATTCTGGTTCTGGATGTTAGTAGTATTAGTTTTACTATTATTATCATTATTATTATTACTATTATTATTAGAAGTAGTAGTACTAGCGATATTATCAATATTATTATTATTATTATTATTATTATTATTATTATTATTATTATTAATATTATTGTTATTATTATTATTATTAGTATTATTGTTATTATTATTATTGTTATTATTAGTATTATTGTTATTATTATTATTATTATTATTATTATTATTATTATTATTATTATTATTATTATTATTATTATTATTATTAATGTTACGATGATGAGTGTTAATTTGGACGCGATCCGTGTCCCAGGCATTAGCGCCGTGAGGAGGCGCTAACCCGGCTAATCCCCTCGCGGGCGAGGGGGGCCCTACTAAAGCACTGGGTGGCAATGACAGACCGGGCCCCGATGCCACTGGCGCCCCCTTACCATTACCAATAAGGGGCCCAGTATCCACGTTTTTTGGACACGATTGCATCGGGCACGGACAACCTTGAAAGGCTGCGTCTGTAATTAATTAATTTATTTTTATTATTGGTATTAATATTAATACATAATAATTATCAATATTGTAAACATTAATTATTAAAAACAATAAATAAAATTATTAATATAATTATTAACGAAGAATTTTCAATATTGATTATTAATTCTTAATATCAATAAATATAATTATTAAAAAAATCAATAATAAATAAATTTTAATGTTATTATTAATTATTGATATTAATACACTAATCTTACAAATATTAATAATTAATATGAACAAATTTAATTATTAATAAATTATTATTAATGTCAATTAATATTAATGTCGATTATTAATGTCAATAAGTATAATTAATGATAAAATTATTATTGATAGTAATTAATAAAAATTTTTTTAAGACATAATTTTAAAAACTTACGATCTACAATAGGTCGACCTTGAGCGTGAAGATAAGCGGGATTAGGTGGTGGTGGTGGCGGTGCTGGCGGCGGAGGATATCCAGCATAATAAGGCGGAATCGAGTACTCGCCAGGAGGCGGAGGAGGTTGATATTCTACAACTCCTGGGGCGCCACTACTTGCTCCACCTGCTCCTCCACCTCCTCCTGCTTCTGGATAGCTGTAGTACTGTCTGTTAATAATTATAGGTAGTTAATTACAAGTAATAATTCACTACTTTGTAATTAATTTTTTAAATTCTTTGTATTGTCCATTTTTATTTAATTACACAGCTCAAGATTTCAATTATTATTTATAATTGTTTGTTGAATAATCCAAGTAATATCTTTCAATAAAATATTTTCGAGATAATTTTAGTAATTTATTAATTAAAAAAAAAATTTTTGTTTTAATAATTATGTAAATAATAAAAATTACTGTGAAGAAAAATTTTTAATTTAATGACAGTGTAACATTTCAATTTACTTCATGAATTATTTATTAAATATTTATGTAAGTATACATTAGTCTCTAATTTATCAGATCTTTATAAATTAAATGATAATAATCATTATTTTAATTTAAAAATAATCATATTATGTAAAGATAAAAAAATTTAATAATTATTTTGATATTCACAAAAATTATAGAGTTTTTAATTGTTAAAATTTTTTTTAATCACTTTTGATATTTGTTAATTTATAATTTTAAGTTTAAAAATTTTTAAAATAATTGTATTTGAAATTTCTTTAGCATACAACTACAATTATCCATAAATTAACAATAAATTATTTTTTCAATTACTCCTAAATAATTTTTGGAAATATAAAAAAAAATTCAATTTTTTCCAATTGAATATTTAATTTTTATCCAAATTTTTCTATATAAAAATTGTAATTTCAGAGACATGCTTTCAAATTATACATAAAAAAATTAAGTTAGCCATCTGAAAATTTTTGTAATTTATTTTTCTAAAAAATAATAAAAAAAAAGTTAAAAGAAAAATTATTATATGAAAAAAACTTGAAAAACTCTAAATGTAATTTTAAAAAAAATATTTTTTAGTTTTTATAAAACAATTTAAAAAAAAAAATAAAAACTTCGGCTAACTTTATAATAATATAAAAATTTTGTATTAAAAATTAATTCTCTTAAATCAACACAAAATTTTTAAACCAAATTTTTTTTGAGATAATGATTCAAAATATTTTACTAAAAAAAAAAAAAGTTTAAACTTTCTTAAAAAAAATTCTTCCATAAAATTTGAATAAAAAAATGATCAATTACCTTCTATAAGCCGGAGCATATTTATAATAAGGAGGTGGATGCGGATGCGGATGTGGATAAGTCGGTGGATAACAGAGCTCCTGGTACTGCGGTGGAGTCCCGTAATATTGAGGGCAGTAGGCTCTGTAGAACCCGCCACCTGCTGCAAAAACAATTACGTATAAGTACAAGTGAAAATTCGCAAAAAAAAAAGAAGTATGAAAGGTGAATTAGTCTCGTTAGCACTTGAAGTGGAGAGAACACCTCCGTACGACTTCATGAAGCTCGTAAAACAATCCGTAAAAATAATAATAAAAAAAAAATAAGAAAGGAGTCGAAGTAGGCTTTTATAAATAAAATAAAAAAAATGCTCACTGGGGACAATCGATGTGGATGGAATCGCTGAGCCCGGAATTCTTGACTCCGGTTTGCGATACGAACGCCAGGAGGAATTACCTGTGCTGTTAGTGCCACCGGAAGTCGTCGAGGTAGCCACCAGGTCGTCCGAGCTCTCGGAATTTTGAGGCGGCGTGGGCGTTGGTTCCGGTGGCGGGCCCTTTATCGGTGGCAACGTGGGTGGATGCTGAATTAGCGGACCTGCTGGTTGGTAGTAACCTGCAATCAAATTTTAATAATCATTATTAACTTGGTCATCAATTACACGGATTTATCGCGGTTATTATTATTAATTTACGGACAAACAGTCGGCATGTTAAGTATGTTTGTTTGGTAATTAGACAAAGCATTATTCGAGAGCAATAACACCGAATCTCGTCCTCTACTCGGTATCTGACATTAAATAATGTCGATGTGTGTTTAGTTGTCCACTGTAAACATTTAACATTCGGGCTGGTATTACGGCTGGCTATTGATATTTAGGGGAGTTTATTGTGTTAAGCTTGACTTATCAAGCTTACATATTATAATTAATATTGTGCTGGGTATTTAATTAACGCTTGGGGTTATTGATATGGGATTAATTCGTAAGTCAATTAAAGTACGATTTTTGATCATTATTAAGAGAATAATGAAAATTTTGGGTTTAGGATATTTCAGGTCATTGAAAAGGTCTTGATTTGAATTTGTGCCTTTTCAAGGTTTCATTTCATTCTCACTGATAGTCAATTTATTATGATAAGTATTTAGGCTGCATTCGAAAATTTTCTATCTCTAGATACATTATTAAGAAATGACCTTGTACCTTGTGAACTACTGACATTTTTAAAGATGTAAGCTCATCCCGATGTTACACTCACCGAGACCTTTCATTTGAGTACCCACATCAATTTTTCATATATTTATATATTATATATATATATATATGAATATATGAAAAATATATCAAAATGCATGTGGGGACTCAAATGAAAGATTTTGATGAGTGTAACATCGGGATGAGCTTATATCTTTAAAAACATCAATAATTAAGTAATGACATTGTATCTTGTCAACTAGTGGTATTTTTAAAGATATAAGCTCACCCCGACATTACACTCATTGAGACCTTTCATTTGAGTACCCACATCAATTTTTCATATATTTTATATATTTATATATATGAATATATGAAAAATATATCAAAATGCACGTGGGTACTCAAATGAAAGCTCTTGATGAGTGTAACGTCGAGATGAGCTTATATCTTTAAAAATGTCAATAGTTAAGAAAATACAGTACAATTTAACAAAAGTCATGATTTGATAGAGAAAAATTTAATTTATTTATAGTTCACAAGCCATGGCAGTCACATAGTGACTACAAGGTTGCTAGTAATCATTATTATTTTACATTTTTATGAAGATTAGCAAAACTATTAATCTGCTGAAAAATAATTAATTTTTTTAAGAAATTCATATTTTACAAGAAAAAGTTTCTCAATTAAAAATCCAAAACAACACATATTTTTTTTTAAATATATATTTAAAAGATATTTAAGATATATTTTTGACAAACTTATGAATAATTATTTAATCCTCTAATCATCGAACAAGTGAGCAAATTATAAATTTCCGCTGACGTCAAACAAAGTTTATAAATTAAGTGATGACCATTCGCAGACAAATTAAAGCGCAAATAAATGAAACTCGTGCCGAAATCCTTGAGTAAATTTACGTTTCACCTTTGAACCGTGTAATGAAAATAAGTTTGTTTGTTCTAATCAAGTTTCCCTACTCTCCGCTCTCTATTCTCATTCGACTAATTCTAGCCCTGGTCCTAGAATTGTAAGTCCTACAGGCCGTACTGGGACAACAGAACAGAGAGCCTACTTTTGACTAATGTCAATTATGCTTGTTCTAAATAAATATAATAGTTAGATAGTTGTACAGAAAAAAAATTAACTTTCGAAGAATCAAGAAAACAATTTTTGAACCAAGAAAAATTTCTTAGATTAAAAATTTTTTTGCTTAAAATAAAAAAATTCTTCAAAATTATTTACTTCATTTCTAACTTGCCACTAATTAATTTAATTAACTAATTAATTAATTTCCAAATTTTTTTTTGGGTTTTTAATAAAATAGATTATGACTGTCCTCACCACATTATAAATTTTCAGTTTGATCAATCAAAAAATCCTTTTATATTAGCCTTTATATTGAATATAAATAATCCCTTAATCTCAACACTTGTTTCGGATTAGACGGTGTAAGTAAACCGAGTAAGCATCAACACAATCAACATTATCTACAGCGTCTTACATTGAGGAGTAAGAGGAGCTAAGCACAAGAAAAGTTGATACATACTTTGTACAATAGTACGTATAGTAGTTATAGTAAAGACAGAGAGAGAGAGAGAGAGAGAGAGAGAGAGAGAGAGAGAGAGAGAGAGAGAGAGAGAGAGAGAGAGAGAGAGAGAGATAATAATGCTGTCCTTTTGAAGTGCAGAGAGAGAGAGGAAAGGCAAAGGCCGTTGCCCGCGATAGTTCGCGGGCACGTGGGCCGTTCGTTCCACTGTCTGTATTCTCCATTAAAAAGAGACAGCGGTTTTGTAAAAAAGGCCCAAAGGTGACAATAAAAATGTTTTATTAAAAATTGAATAAAAAGGAATGAAGAGAGGGAAGGATAACTTTTATTAGTACAGTGGATTATTCGCTGATTGATAGTTTGTTTTGGAACGAATTGAGCTTTGGCTGTTTTATTTATTATTTGTTGTTTGGAATAAAAATCCGGGGTGAGTTTTAAGAGGTTATTAGATGTTAGGAGGGATGTCAACGAGATCTTTTTAAGTTAAAGAAATATGTGGATTATATATGAGAAAACATAACAGAGAGCATGAGTGGAACTGTAACGGCTCGATGGACTTTACTCAACTCGGTCAACTTAGACTCTTATGCTTTGGCTTTAGCTTCAGCTGGTAAAAAGAGATCAACTATCTGAACGGTTGGATGCTTTTAACGGATCTAAGGATGCCTTGGTATGCTTTTCTTTGCTAAGAGACTCTGTGAAAATATTGTATTACTGATTAATGTTTTTATACATCAAATTTTATGTGCAATTGTGAAGGTCAGTAATCGGGTTATGATTTTTTGTGAATTAATAAATTATAAAAAAAAATTGATAATACTAACAATAATTTTGCTTTATTAAATAATGACTATTGGTAATTGCACTGTACTATTTTAACTATTGATATTTTTTAAGATATAAGCTCATCCCGTTGTTACACTCATCAAGAGCTTTCATTTGAGTACCCACATGCATTTTTCATATATTTTGTATATTTCATATATATGATATTTATAAAATATATGAAAAGTGCATGTAGGTACTCAAATGAAAGGTCTCGATGAGTGTAACATCAGAATGGATTTATATTTACGAAAATGTTAAGATTTAAGGGATGACAGTTGCATTTTGTTAACTAATGATGTTTTTAACGATATAAGCTCATTCCGATGTTACACTTGTCAAGAGCTTTCATTTGAGTACCCACATGCATTTTTGATATATTTTTCATATATACATATATATAAATATATGAAAAATTAACGTGGGTACTCAAATGAAAGGTCTTGATGAGTGTAATGTCGGGATAAGCTTATATCTTTAAAAATGTCAATAGTTCACAAGATACAACGTCATTTCTTAATTATGTTAAATTGAACTGTAGTTTCTTAAATATTGACATTTTTTCAAAGATATAAGCTCATCCCGATGTTGCACTCATCAAGAGCTTTCATTTGAGTACCCACATGCATTTTGATATATATATAATATATTCATATATA